CATTAGAAAATATATCGGGTATAGCCTCTTTAAATAATGCTGAACCCAAAAAGAAAATCCCTCCGATGAAGTCATTCAATCTAAAGACAATAATCACAACAAGAAATCCACTCCTTCATCAACTACCTGACCGACCGCCCTCATTATGTATCGATCGGTAACATAACCTCAGATGGCGTAGAATATTGTCTCTCCACAAGGAACTGTGCTTGCCCCGTTTGGTATCACGGTTTTAGCTTTATGCAATCTACACATCTGACATCAGACATGTTTCGCTGCCACCTTGAACTGCAAAAAAAAAAAGAAAAGATTGCCAACTTGGCAACAAAACTTTAAGTCAAGGTCCGCAATGATAGTAATTTAAAGATGTTTGTGTGAATATAGCCAAAACTATTTACTAGGGGTGGGCGATATGGCCTAAAATTCATATTGCAGTATAATTTGGGACACAGACGGTAGACGGTATATATTGCGGTATAATTTGGTTTGTGAATTTCAATATAGGTCTAGCAGGTTCTTGAATGAAATATTCAAGATTGTTACTTATTTAAATGTATTGTGCAAAACTGCAATTATACAGAACATTATAAAACTTTAACTTCCGAGCAGTATCGCTGGGTTTCAACCACGTGACCAAAAGGGGGCGGGGCATGTGCCCGTAGGACAGGAAGTATTTTTCTCCTTTTAAATAGAACATATGGGCACAGGGGGCGTCCGTGGTACGGAAGACCAAATTCACGAGGGTTACCAGAAAAAAAGTCCCATAGAACTCCATGTATATTAAAACAGCACGACCTCAGCTGACAGAGAACCTGACAGAGAACCTGACAGAGAACCTGACTGAGAACCTGACAGAGAACCTGACTGAGAACCTGACAGAGAGCCTACAGCTTTCATAAAGATCAGATTTTGTGAGATGTTAGTGTCCCTTGTCGTCCTGAACTTTTTTTCTTCTTAAATCCTTCTGTTTTCTTTAAATCCACACTTTACTGCCACAAACTCTGCTCCCTGGCTTCCCGCTCTGACTCCGCTGTACTGCTGCTCTGATTGGTCAGCTCTGATTGGTCAGAGCGCGGCCGAGCCCCTCTGAGCGCGTGCATGAAAGCCACACACGCACGTCTGGTCCTCCCGGTTTGCGCAGAACCGGGAGGACCAGACAATGCCCAAATACAGGCGAGTTCTGCTAATCTCCCGGTCTCCATGAAGTCCCATGAACTACTGAGCACAAACCATTCATTTGAATAGGTCGCCATCTTGGATCGCCGGGGCTTGGCAATGATGGAAAACGCAGACATTGCGGCTTGAGTGAAACTATTTTAATGCAGCGTACTACAGCGTAGTGTTTGAATAAGTCCAATGTTTTCAACAATGAGAAGGATTAAGGCTGTTAGTGACGACAGTGGAGTCACTCTGGGATCAACAGAAATACGTCTGAGATGATAGTTCTGATCAATAACATATAATACATATGGCACAAATGTTACTTTAGAAGCATTTGAAGCAAGAAATCTGACCCTTTATTGTCATTTTGGTGATGTGTTGAGCTGTAAATAACAAAAAGTACGTTAAGCTAATAGTGTTAAGCTAACAGCAGTGAGTGAGCTAACAGCGGTGGCTGCAATTAATGTATTTAACAGTTCTTTCTTTCTGCTGCCTCGGTTACTACAACTGTATACCATACAAAAATACTGCATTGTATCTATGAAAGTCAGCGAAGTAAAGACTGTGGACTGTCAGTTATCTCTGTGGCCGCAGATGCTACGCATGCTAATGCTAACGCTAGCACATTTCTCCTGTTCCTTATCAGGCATTATCCTAAAAATTGACATCCGTTAGAGAAATATTTTTTAGCAAAGTAGAGACTCCATAAGTTCCCCACTTGATATGATCAGTTGCCACAACTGTACACGCCACAGAAAAAGAGCATTTTAACTCTGAATCAGTGAATGTTTACATTGTTCTTAGTGGGGAAATGTACTGTCCCTTGGAGCACTTTTGTCACGTGCAGCCCATCAGTTTGATGACATAATGACCTATATGCCGGTATAACACAAATCTCTACCGTTGGCCACATTTTTATCAAATACTGCTTATACCGTTTATATCGCTCAGCCCTACTATTTACCCTGCATTCATCTTTAATAAAGCACTCCAATTGCCTCATTGCAACTGTCACAAGAGCATGACTCTCTTCTCTTCTGTCGTCTGTTCCTGTTGGATTGTCTGCTCCTGGCTCACCTCTCTCGCCTCGCTCACCCACCACATCCTTGTTAAACCGCCCATGTGTGGCGCATAATCATCCAGCTTTGATTCCTTTGTAACATAACAAGATCTGCAGATTAATTGCACCACTTCCAGCTACTAAAAGCGTTTATTTTTCTTTTTTCCCCTCATCTACAGAAATGCGACTAATGCCTGGGTGTTAAACCTTCCCTGCTCCACTCCGCTCGCAGCAAGTGCATGTGATAAAAGCTCACACACAGATGGGCAATCGTCAATGCAGGATTTTAATTGGAATTATTTAGAAGAATGGTTTGAGAGTTTACGTTTATAGTCCTGTGGAACCTCAGAAGAGGTAAAAAGTGACTTGTGTGTCACATTTATTTCATGTACAACTTTTTAAATCGTTCCCTTACTTAAAGTGAAGATCAGTTAATAAAATGTGAAGATGGAAAGATGTTTTTCAAATGCCCGATTGGACACTGTTGTTGTATTATGTGTTTGTATGGGGCTCCAATTCATCTCATATCACTTATTTCCTGTGTTTTAATGTTATTTATTTATTCTTATTTTTTTATTTTATCTTATTTTCTTATGTGCTGCTCAAATGAAAATATAGTAATCTGAATCTGAATCTCAATTTGAATCCCCCCACCGGCCCGGAGTGAGGTTCGAAGCATGTCAGCGCACATGCTCATGGACCCGCCCCCACTGGTTTAAACCCATTGGTTGAACTATTCTATTCTACTATTGGCGGCACGGTGGCTGAGTGGATAGCACTCTCGCCTCTCAGCAAGAAGGTCCTGGGTTCGAATCCCGGTCGGACCAGGGCCTTTCTGAGTGGAGTTTGCATGTTCTCCCCGTGTCTGCGTAGGTTTCCTCCGGGTACTCCGGTTTCCCCTACCACTAAAAATATGTCCAATAGTTCTAGCATGCGCCTCCTGTACTGACCCCGCTCCCATCTCTGTGTGGAGTGAGAGACTAATGCCCAAAAATTAACAATTGTAAACCGCTTTGAGACTCAGATCTGCAGTGAAAAGGCGGTATATAAATAAATACTTACTTACTACTACTACTACTATTCTCCTCCAGCAAATAGCTGCATGTGAAAGCCACATCCTGTCAGACATATTACTGGTGTACTACTGCCACCACTGCTCCTGACTCCATGACTTATGGGTAATGCAGGATGGGTCCCCCTTCTGTCTGGTGTGTACATTACATTTTCAAATTTGGTTTTTGAACAAACTTCTTGTTCTTCTTTGTAAACACACTCACTGTCTTCATACTACCCATGTACAGACAATATGGTTTTTACAGCTTGAAAATTGGTTAATCGTTATTAATCGAGTTTCTAACTATCAGCAAAATTATTCTATATTTTTTCTGTAAATAGTTGTTTGAATGGAAAGATAAATAGTGTATGTGCTTTATTTGTTTATTATAACAACAATAAATCCACATAAAACGGCATTAACATTATTAACATTGGGCACAACCAACAAAAATTAGGTACTGAAGAAGATGACAAAGTCTGGGATCGCGTCTTTCATTCAGACAGAAGACATGTTTTATTGTCGATGGTAGAGACAGCACGAACAACAGATACAACAGAATGCAAGTGTATTATACAGAGCGTTGGCATGGAGACCTCCAATCAGCAGCTGCCACGGTGCCATGTAGCTTGGCCTTCAGATAGACACAACAAGGGAAAAGTACTGGCTTCTGCACATTGATAGAATGATGAGTTTAACCTTAACAAAAGTTGCTTAAAAGTGTTATGAAATCTCACAGTACCCCAGCTTTAATTTTGCAATTTTATTTGTGCTTCGGGAGGAGACACGGAGGAGACGTAGTCCAACTTCAGCTGTGTTTTTATTGCATACACAGGTTACACAAAGACACGCACACAACAAGCAGAGAACAGTTCTGTGGCGTGTACGGCGGCGCCGTTCGCCGTGTTGTAGTCAAAGCGGCTCACAGCCGCTGGAGGCGGGAACCGATGTCCAGAGGGCCTACTGCTCTTTTGCAATCTTACACACGCATGTGTCCGCGGCACAGAGTTATTGTGGGATGCATGGGTGGGTCGGCACATGCGATCAAAAGCATTAATTTCTTTAATGCAGTTAATAAAAAAATTTATTAACGTGCGTTAACGCGATCATTTTGACAGCCCTAATATATATATATATATATATATATATGTGTTTATATATATATATGAGTACTACTAATATGATGAAAATGCTGGTCTTTATTTTGCTGCCTCATTAACAAGAATGGGCCAGAACATTTGTCAGTGCTGGGCTGTGAGTGCAAAACACGTGGAAAGATCTACAAAGTGAGCACTTCTGAGGCCTCCACTCGCACGAAAACAAACATTTTGAAACTGGAAAAGCACTTGTAGAGCACAGACCTCTCAGTTCCACGATTCCTACTAACAACATGCATTCAATCAACAAATACAATGATAGTTGTCAATGTTCTGCTAGTTTGAATGCTTGTGATAATTAGATAGAACCAAACTGATTGATAGAGGAAATAGTGAGATTTTATTACAGATTGTATAAGGTTTTGGTTGAAAGTTTGGTATCCCAGCTTTGGTTTATCTGATGTGACGTGTCCAGGCATGGTACTTGTTGCCTGGTGGTGAATAGAAAATTGTGTACATGTGTTCCATAATACAAAGATGGCTGTGTTATTAATGCCTGGGCTTTTATCTCGGCAGTGACATATTCTCCAATTAGCGTGCGTGTGTGTGATTGGGCCAATGCTGCGTTCTACCGCGGACACATGTTCCTCTCTGCTGGAGCCGCGGTGTTTGGCGTGGAGCAGACGCACAGCCGCCAGCTCGCCTTGGCACACTCCAGCTCCAGCCCTGCCCATACTGATCTCTCATATCCGCCTCCATAAGCCAGCTCTTTAATGAAGGCCGCTAATGCATTTCTATAACCGTAACATAACAAATCAGAGTTAAATTGACTTTTAACAGCGTTGGATTATGCTATTGTGTTTAGGCACTCTGTAGGAGAGATCGGCCAATATCAGTGGCTGATGCAGACTTTTTGAAGAGTTTGGCCAGCTTAATGGGACTGTATGTCTAACCCTATTTGTGGCTTAATAAAGTCTTTGCAATTATAATCCACATGTATTATCGAGGCATATGCCTCATACACACACACCCCAAAAACAAATGGAGCCAAAACTCTCTGAATGGAATCTTCTTGTAAACATATATCCATTGTATATAGTTGTGTTGCCTCAGCTGTTTCTGATGTAAAGCAAACTTGCGCTTGCACGTTTCACGGAAGCCAAAGCAAACCAAGATGGTGGTCATAAAGTCTGCAAATTGTATAGAAAGTTTAAATACGAACGAATAAAGACATGACTGTCACTTTTAATGAAATTTGAGGTGAAATGTTGATGGTTCCGTGTTGAGATATGTGGGTTTTAAGAGTAAGAGTTTTGTGTAAAGTTTGGTTAAAGTGATCTAAATGAATTAAAAGTTTTAAGAGTTGTATTAAATTGACCTCCTGGCCTTTAATGTTGAAATAAAATAAGTAATTGTATTAATTCTAATATTACGGGTAAGTCCCGCCTTCCCTTCTCTTATCTATATATATATATATATATATATATATATATATATATATATATAGATAAGATAAGATATATATATATATATATATATACTGAACCTATATCCATAATCAGATCCTCTGCAGATGTTCCTATAATGTTCAATCAATGATAATAGTACTTCCTGGTTTACCGCGATCACTTTTTTGTGCATTAAAACATTATTTTTGTCATGAAAACGTGAACAGATAATTCTGAAAACCTCCGTGCATGTGTATTAATAATGTATATGTATAATGTGTTCTCTGATTAACATTTAAAAGTGTGGATTGATTGTTACGGAAATGTAGGCATAGACCAATCAGAAAGGAAGGGGGAGGAGCTTGGGTCGTTGTTTTCAAATCATGTACCTCTCTCTCTTTTTTCTGACTCCAGACAGTCACTTTAAGCAGTCACTCGACAGCTGTCAGCTTACAACTGGACTGTCGGGTTGTTAATGGAAAAAAAATAAAAAATCTAAGTTGTAAGCATGGATCTATTAGCTGTCGAGCCGTTAGCCACAGGATGCATCATCGGCCTACGTCAATAAAAGGACATACGTGACAACTCGACTGCTATCACACAGTAGCAGTTACTGCTTAAACCAAACTTTACACAAAACTCTTACTCTTAAAACCATCCACATCTGGCCTCAAATTGCTTTAAAAGTGACATTCATGTCTTTATTTGTTCGTATTTAAACTTTTTATACAATTCACGGACTTTATGTCCGCAATTTTGGTTTGCTCGAGCTGCCGTGAATTGCGCATGCGCAGGTTGTCTTTACACCATAAACATCGGATGAAGACGACATGTTGGGATCTAGTATTTCAGTTGGGACCAACACAAACGGTTGTTTTCCCAGCCACTTGTTTCTGTCTGAAATAACTGTTGTAAAGATGTGCAAACAAGCATTACATGCAGGTCAAGTATACAAGCACACTTTTGTGATGGACATGAATAAGTTTGATAGATTTGAATAACTACCTTTTTCGTTTACAAACTTCAGCTTTTGCTATTTCTGCTGGCAGCTGTAGCTCCAATGACATCTTCTGATTCAAAGATCTACGGTTCAAATCCTGCTCTTGGCATGAAAATCATAAATTATGACACACTTTGCAGTTGCAATTGTTTATTTATTGAGATTGAGGTATTTAAACTTCTATCCAGAAGCCATTTTCTCGAGATACAGTTCTGAATGGAACTTTATACTGATCACTACTATAATTTCAGGCTCCAATTCCTGAATTTGAAATGTATTTCCATATCATTTTAAAAGGGATCAAATGCATAATTGTACTCTTAGTGGTTAAAAAAGTCACTGCAAATACCAACCCACACAAGAGCCTCCTTTTGTGTCTGCTTGAACATCATAAACAGAAAGATCATGGACATCATGTTCATTGTATTTTCAATTCAATCTCCCCTTTAAACCTTTGTTCAGAAAAGGTCAAATTTGATATGGGACACACATATATATATATATATATATATATATATATATATATATATATATATATGTTTTATTTATACAATTAAATAGATAATAAAGGCAAATGTGGGCCGGCTTCACTCACAAACACTGTTGAACACACAGTGGCAGAGATTTGCAGAAATCCCCAAGTCTCGGCCAAGCACCGACCACACTCTGCCAGACCCAATCCCTTCACATGTGTGGCTGCAGAAGACCGTTTTGTGGGAAACTTTTAATACACATCCATCCAAAACATGATCCTTCCTCTGGTGACACGGCACGATAACATTTTTTTCACATCATAAATTGGCAAAGAGAGGAAAACTATTAGCAAATATTTCCAAGCAGGCTTGTTAGCTTCAGTTTATGTGACTTTTAGAGCTGATATCACCATAGTGTTTGCTGAAGGCTACTGATTGGTCAATTGTTTGAGCTCAAATATGTGTTCACAAAGACAACATCACAATACAAACATCACTATCATAAGAGAACGGTTTTTACAAACTGTTAATGAGCTAGAGTTTACTTTTAAATGTGTTTCATTTGGAACCAAAGCGAATTGGAGCAAAACTTGTCCATGAACACATTTCGATTGGGCTTCTTTGAGCATTAGCATTGTCCATCTATAAGTCTATGGGAAGAAGCTCTTCATATGAAGGGAGGAAATATTTGTCCAAATCTTGAAAACCAGTGTCCTCTCACCATATCAAAGGTACACAACCCAATTTACGAAACTGGCCTATAAATAAAGAACAAGCCGACTGTTCCCACAAGCGCTGACATTTGCTTTGACCTGAGTGGTGCCACACAACAGATGGTTTTTAAGCCACTCCTGCTCTCCTGCCGTGAATTTCCTCCCAAAAAACAGAGCCGATCACTCCTCCAACTACGAGATTAAGTAGACCACCATGGCACACCTCGCTTCATTAGGTCCGTCCAGAAAGAATGTCTACCCACCGCAGAGAAATGTCGTTAATGCCCCTCAGCGACCCCTGCACTGTATTGACTGTATTTAAGAGGATGGGGGAATGATTATTCAAAGGATCAAATCAATTCTCCGCATAATGCTTTCACTCAAGTTGTAATCAGCACCTGCTAAATGAGCTTAATGGCGGTGGGCAGTGAGGCTGGCGGAGCGAGAAAGGCATGCGGAGGTGGTCGCGTCATTGACGAGTCCCAACGCAGAACGTGGCTAGAGTGAAAACATGAAAAACCAATATTTGATAAAGAGTTGGAAAAATATTTATATGTTACAGTCACCGGGTGTTTTATTATTCAGCAAGGCCAATAGTCATAGGTCGTGTGTTATTACTGCATGATTTTAATAATCAATATGTCTATCAATATGTATATCATGGCGCCGTGGCAGGAGCTATGGGGTGTAATATCTGGTGCACACTAGGGTAGTCTTGCACAGTTTTTTTCAATGTGGTTGTACTGCAGATGGCAAATACATTCTTGAATCTTGAAGCTTTGGTACCCAACATTAAAATCATAATAACTGGAACTATGTGAAAGCAAATGTATAGGCAGGAGAATGAATACCGACAAGGCGAAGTGGACCACTACTGCTTCTGCCCTGAAGTTACTTATTTTCCGATAATGACCTGCCTACTATACATTATCACGCTCATTATATGGTTTGTACCAACAGAACACACAAAATAAACTTCAGTCCACTCTCAGGAATGCCGAAAGGTTTATTTAATGACTGCAAATAAAATAGTTCCCAATGGCTAGGCGAGTAACAGTTAGGCTAGATACATCAAAATCAAAACTCTCTGGAACTGCATGAAAACTGAACAAAGAATCCTGAACATCAGCGGTGAGTGACCCAAACATAAACTCAACCTAAATCCATAACCAGATATTCTGCAAATGCGTCCTAAAAGGTTTGTTTAATGTTAATGGTTACTGCCGGGTTTACCGCGAGGAGCCGTATAATAAGTATGTATAAATGTATGTGGAAACTAGTCATGGAACCAAATTTAATTGTTTTGAGAGTAAGGCTTGATAGATAGATAGATGCTTTATTGATCCCTGTAGGAGAAATTCAGGTGTCCAGCAGCAGAAGACTCTTTTTTGTTGTTGTACAGTCTGACAGCCGAAGGAACAAAGTATCTCTTGAAGCGTTCCGTTCGGCAGCGTAGTGATAGGAGCCTGTTGCTTCGATGACTCCTCTGAGCGGCCATAGTGTCATGCAGAGGGTGTCTGGAGTTACCCAGGATGCCCTGCAGTAGAGCCCTCATCCTTCTCTCCAGCACAGCTCCCACAGAGTCCACACTTCTCCCCATCACAGAGACACATTGATTGATTGATTTAAATCTACAATCCTAATTTTACATCTTGCATGAAACGAAATACTTTGAGCTCAAATGCAACTGGAGTGTTTCTGAGTATTTGAGTAAGCGCAGTGCCATGGCTCTCAGCTGCGATCCAGCGCGGGCAAAGCAGCCAGCACCTCAGCCTCAGTCCGGAGCGCCTTTATCAGCACTTCGTCAGCCTTTTTCAAACGGGATGGAGCAAAGCCGATTAGTCTGGCCGCGCACATGCCTTCTCTGCTCGCCCCGCGCATGAATCATGCCTAATGCAAGAAAATGCTGCTAACGTGGAGTGGCGTGAGGCTAAATGGAAGGTGTCACTCAGAGGCCGTCGCGCTGCTCACCCCCACGTGTAGGACATGGAGGTCGCGACATGTGCCAGGGCAGCGAGGGCAGGATGGAGAGCCCGGCGGTGTGCCCAGGTGGAGCGTCTGTATGCCCTGACTCCAAAAGCGCTCAAGTGGAAGAGGCCCGCATGTGTGTGTGTGTGTGTGTGTGTGCGTGTGTGTGTTTGTGCGGGTGTGTGTTTGTGTGCGGATATGCAAAGTACAAGCTGCTGCAGGCGATGGCCTCTTCGACGTGAAAGGTTCCAGGGAAGCCAGGAGGGAGCCGGCCAGCATCCTGCCACACAGCCCTCGCACTTATCTGCAGCTTCGAGAGCCATGGAGAACGTGCAGTTCACAGGAGACATGTACCGGTGAAACTCGATTAAAATTAGATTACCGTTCAAAAGTCTGCTTCTGTCATTCAACATGTGAAACTCAGGTATGACAAGACCATTTTGTAGGCCACAATCATCCAAATATTTGCAAACTTGGGCTTTGCATAGACGCCTTTCATTCTCTCAATTGTATTTTGTTTTCACATTTTAAGTTGAATAACAGAAATAAATGAAACTTTAAACGATATTCTGATTGTACGAGTTTGTGAAAGCTGATAACAAAAGTTTGATTTGCCAAAGAAACTTTCAATTCTAGATTATACAGTCATGAAACGATTAATCAGGTACATTGAGGTAAATGATAACAACATTTTTTGTTGCCTCAGTTAATCTGGTAATTTATAAATTTGTATCAAGCCCCGGTGATCCAAGATGGCGTCCTATTCAAACGAACGGCTTGTGCTCAGTAGTTCATGGGACTTCATGGAGACCGAAAGATTAGAGGAACTCGCCTGTATTTGGGCATCGTCTGGTCCTCCCGGTTCTGCGCAGTGGACGAGCTCCCATGATGCTTTGCGCCAAATAGGCGTGTGTGGCTCTCATGCACGTGCACAGAGGGGCTCAGCCTCGCTCTGACCAATCAGAGCTGATCAGAGCAGCAGCAGGGCGGAGTCAGAGCGGGAAGGAAAGGAGCAGAGTTTGTGGTAGTAAAGTGTGGATTTAAAGAAAACCGAAGGATTTAAGAAGAAAAAAAGTTCAGGACGACAAGGGACACTAAAATCCCCACAAAATCTGATCTTTATGAAAGCTGTAGGTTCTCTGTCAGGTTCTCTGTCAGGTTCTCTGTCAGGTTCTCTGTAGGTTCTCTGTCAGCTGAGGTTGAGCTGTTTTAGTTTACATTGAGTTCTATGGGACTTTTTTCTGTGTAGCCCGTGTGAATTTAGTCTGCAGTACCACAGCGCCCCCTGTGGCCATGGGTGGGACAGCTGTAAGATAGTAATACTTTATCCAGTTATTATAGATCCATGGGTCGTATTTGTATGTAGCTATGTATCCTGGAGGTTTCCTCTTTGTGCTCTGGTTTCTCCTACCACTAAAACATGTGTAATAGGTCTGAATGTAATGAGCTTCTCAGCAAGAAGGTCCTTGGTTCTGAGTGGAGTTTGCATGTTCTCCCCGTGACTGCGTAGGTTTCCTCTGGTTCCCCCTACCACTAAAAATACGTACAATAGTTCAGGGTGAATGAGTGTGGGGTTGCGACTGTGGGACAACGATTGGAAATTAGCCCAAGGCTACAATCCGGAGAAGTGTGTTCATTAACATTAACATTAACATGCACAGTCCCAACCAAATAAACAATAAACTTAAATTCAATTACTGTTTCTTTAATTTCGCATTCCAAGAGAGAGATGTCTTGTATCTTATTAAAACAAGGTCATTTTGCTTCTCCCATTGGCAAATCTTGTTTTAAGGCAGTCAAAAAAAGCTCAAATTAAGATACATTTTGCTTTACGAATTGTTTTACTTATTTTTTATCACTTTTTGCAGCTAAAGCTGCTCCCCTCCCCTTTTCGAGTTGTTCCTCGCCGGTGC